CAGAATTAAATGAATGTGCTTGTGCAGCAATTTACAAATAGAGAGTCTGTAGGCCTACTATAGCCTACGTGTTGTAGCCATTAAATAAGCGCATTTAGTTTCATATTTGTTAAAATATTATAATGTTATTTTTTTTCCATCTATGCTGATTATGAAAAGTGAACAGTGCGAGTAAGATGGATGCAGAATATATCGGGAGACATTGAGTCAATCAGACATGATTTTGACCACTTCATTAAGTTTTGTTTTGAAGAAAGCCTTTCTTTAAAGCGAATTACGTTTTGTATAAATTGTATCTTAATTTTAAGCATTTTTTTATCAACCAAATGCCTGGATTTAATAAGCAAATAAAGGGGACAATATAATCATGGAAGCGCCGGCGTGGTCACTTGCATTGCACGTGAACTGGAGCATCTCATCATAAATTACACCGTCGGTGTATGAATGAGTGAGTGAATGGGTGAATGTGAGGCAAATTGTAAAGCGCTTTGGTGGCCATTGGGTCTGTGAAAGCGCTATATAAATGCAGTCCATTTACCATTTAAATTAACCGAAACTCAACGTATAGAATTTAAGCTTGAAATGTCTTTAAACGAAACAATTCAAAACGAAAAGAAATAGGCTAGCCTACTCTCTGATTATGTAATCCAGTATGTGCATTTCTCTCTGGGGCGTTCACTATGGAGATGGCGATCGCGGTCAAATCTATGAAATGACGGAGATCGCTGTCAAATCCCAGGGACAGATAATCTGTCCCTGGGGAAAGTAACGTTGCGCCGAATTGAAAAAGGAACTACGTTTCCTTACCAAATTTTCAGTAGTAGCGCGTTACACTACTTTTTACCCGAAAAAGTAGTTACTGTAGTACGTTACTGTAACGCGTTACTTTGTAACGCGTTACACACAACACTGGCTGTCACACACAGTTAGTTGTGTTGTGGAGTGAGGGCAACTAAAAAAATCCTATGTTTATAGTGTATAAAAATTTAGACTTATATCTATGTGACTAAATCATGCAGCAAACGTTTTAAAATATCTTGGAAAATTAATTGAAAAATTGCATTAATTACTTTTAAAACCGTTTAACTAATAGAATCAGTCAAACTTCGTACTGTCGGTTAACGTTAATTATGAGCATCCCTAATTCCGAGTTTCTAACTCTGCAAGTCAGATTTTATAAATCGGAAGTCGGACTTAACTCGCAATTCTGACTTTATGACGAGAAATAAGATCTTTTGCTCTTGTCAGCACGTTGGTGTATTTTCTGTGGTGTTACTTGCGAGTCACGGTTATTGAATATTGTTCCCAGTGAATAGGTTGCAGCGTTGTTCTCTGGGCACCACGGGCATCGCATTCAGGCGGAAAAAGATTTCATCACTAGCCTCTTTTGTCCCATTTGTATCTCACCAACACACAAACCTCTGTGTCTCTTATCTGATAGCTCCCATCATTCCCAGTGCCAGTGGTGGGCAGTGGGCACAGTCGCATCAGTCAGCAGTGACTGGCTGTTCTCACCCACCGGGGTGATGATGGATGATTATCGGAGTGAATAGCTGAACGGCTCAGAAACCCACATGCTTATCTTCCCGACCCATCTCAGAGGGGGAAGCGGTGCCATCCTTTCAACATGCCGTCATAGGCTGTCATTATTATGGAAAGGCCTCTATTCATGCTTAAAAAGTCTTTTGTTCACTGTTTCAAAACCTCTTTATCGGTCCGACAAAAAAGAACAGGCCTATCTTTTATCGATTATGTTTTGTCCAACTTCCAAGCAGATGTTTTAAGAATTGTAGCAACCTGGTGAGAAATAAAAGCTCTGAAAAACTCATTTTAAGTAACCTGACGAGTCTTGAAGGACATCAGAGACGTTTGCTGGTCTTATCAGGCTGAGATCAGAGATTCAGAGGAAGCGAATCCAGTGAGTGTCAAGACTTCTTGAGAAGAGGCTCTGATAAAAGGGTGAGATGACGAATGTAAGGTCTACAGGACATCATGTTTGTAATGTTTTGTGGTCTGGACAGGACATTAGTAAGCCAGAGAAGACTCTGATGTCATTATAAACATCCTCTTAAGTGGTTTAGATGCAGACGATAAGCTAAATGTGGAATCATCCACAAACTTTCATATAGCCTAACGTAATTTGAGGTTAAGTGATGCATCTGGACAGACAATGCAATCATCTCACTTCTCATCTACAGAAGAGAGAGAAGATTGCGCGCTTATTGTTTGGCTGATTTTCTTTGTGATAAACTTGTTTTTTTTCACAGATCAAATGTGTACTACATGATGTGAACCAGCAGAGGGCAAGCTTTAATAAGCCTCTGTTGCTTTCTGAAGCACTGCATAGGATAGGAGTAGGCCACTGCTATAATATTTTGTTATAAACGTTCTGCCATTTATTTAGGCTAAATGTTTATATAAAAGTCTATATGCATATGGATTTTACAATTATTTTGCCCATTTAAGTGGAACTTCTCTGCTGGGGTAACAGGTATATCCTATAGGCTATGCTTATGTTTTTAGGTCGCTTTTGGATTTTAAATTAGGCTATTTTTTTATTACATTGCACAAAATAGTATATTAAAATATTAAATACTGTAACTCCCTTGCGAGTGAGAAGGGGTTGCAAATAATCACTCTAGGAGCCCTGTGCACACGAGCCCATTATGTGACTGTACTTTTAAAAAATAACCCGAGGTGGTTTTCTTTGAGATTTTTGACATCATATTATCTAACTCTCAAAGTCTCACATTCTAAGCATGTTAAAATGAATAACACTACTTGTTGCATACAACAAAGAACTACGACTACGAATGGATGATCATTCAAGGATGTGTTTATTTTGAAAGCATGAAAGTGATTTGAAGAATACAGAGGTTAAAGTGGAGAGAGGCCAGTCCTCAGTGTATTCACAGGTTCACAGTCAACCAAACTGAGAAGAACATCTGAGAGGATGAGGAAATCAACAGACACACAACACCAAAGGCAATAGTGAAGCACTATTTAAAAAAAATTGCTTTGAATTGTGTAACACAGTATCTAGTTGCGGTTTTAGTATACATGAATGCTATAAAAACTATTTTTTTTCAGACCTACATGAAACATTACTTATACTTTTTTTATTTTAGATTTTATCAGTTTGCGCTTTTTGAATTTTTATATGAAAATCAAAGACAGAAAAACAAATGACATCTCAAAGTCTCAGGGTAGATAGAACGAATAAAGGTATGCGACAGATTTTAGAAGAGAAATATCATTTTATAAGATCAAAGAGAAATGAAAGATACAAAATGACACGTGAGATCTAAAGTATATCAGTAAAAACCTGTGGCAACCCATGCTGAGCATCATTATGAAATCAATAGAGCACTGACAGCATAATTGCATATCAAGGCCTTCTTCAGTCAAACCTCCACTGACTCCTATGATGTTTAGAAGATTACAGCTTGTCACCACTGCACAACAATTACAAATCGTTGGCCACTGGAGGGGAAACTCGCTGTTTTCGTTCACCTTTACTGTATGACAAGTTCTAAATAATAGTACCATTAGGTGCACTGGCTTCATCTGTCCCGCTCAAGTCCTGACCTTCCCGTCCTTCCAGAATGACGTCACTATTGTCAACTTCAATGGAGGACAGTCTAATCAGAAATTGAGTGTTCACATGGACACTGACATTGAGAGTAGCATCACAGTATCGCAGTTGTAGACTATTGCTCATATAAAGAGGTCAACCGTTTCGATTTTGCTTTTCGTTAAGCTCTAGTAATCCTATATATCCTCAGACCTGTGCTAAAATATGTTTGTGTGCGGGCACGGCGGGGGTTTTCTCAACTGACTTTCTATGATGTTTAAAGCATCTAGGGATGCTGAGTTTTAGAAGGCAGTTGTCTAACTCAGAGATCAAATATTTTCACAGGAAAAAAACGTTTAAATATGTCATTTTGATTATCAAAGATGAGTTTTAATGGATAAAATTGACTATTGACTTAAAAATCATGCCGAGCAGGAAACTTTACAACTAGTAGATTTTTAAGACCCGTTCGCACCATGAATGATAACTATAAAGAAAACTATATTAGCGTCTACAACAACAGATGATGGTGTTCTGCTTATTTTATGCACGTACTGTAGTTTTGTCGTCTGCTGCTTTAAATGCTCAAGCTCCTTAAAGTCTTTAAAATGGATTCTGATTGGCTGTCAAAGTTTATTATTCGTCAGCTGTGGGGGAAAAAATCATACTATATCATACAATATCATACTTCCCTATTGTTATAGAATTAGAACGATTATTAAAGCACAACATTACAGTTATCGTCCTTGGTGTGAACAGGCTATTAATGTCCCTGGAAACCTTTAGTCCCATTTAGCCATTTGTTAGCAACCGCATTTAATTGCTGGTATTACTGATGTATTTTATATTGTACACTAGAATGTAAAAATATCTTGAGCCTGTTAACCACAGACTTTATTTCAGGCGAGTAACCAAAACCCCATTCAAAAAACATTGATTTGGGGACGATCTGAAGTGCAAAAATGCTAACTTGTTTCTGGGTTTTAGAACTTATTCCTGCAGCACTCTATACTTGTCATTGAGAATTTTTTGATATATGACCTAATGTGCCTTTATTAAAGGAAAGGTGGCAAAGGGTTTAATGACTATAAATAAGGCCCTATTTACATCTGGTATTACGATGCGTTTTGGTCAATTGGATCACAAGTAGACGAGGGAGACACGTACCCGCTTACACCTGGTATTTTAATTAGTCTCTTTTGTCCACTTTCAACCACTTCTGTCCTGACTTCTTCGAAAGGAGGCGTCTATGGGCAGATAAATGTACTTTTTTTTTGGGACGAAACAAGCTCATGCAATTTATATACCGTATAAACGTGCCCGGAGAAGACAGAAAAACATACGGAGAGCAGCGGCTTTCCTTTTTGGTCTGATAGCCGCAAGACCAGCAGAACAGAGAACAGAGAAATCAGGAATGGTGAGAGAATATTTGTCTTCAGTCGACAAAGTTTAAATCCTGTCTGGCTAGCGCGCTTCCCATACATGTTAGGTCAGTAGGTGGAGAGTAGGAGGTCCTTTTTGGTTGTCCGAACACATTCGACCACGAGTGTGCAATCCGTTTGAATGAGTTTTTGAGCACCTCTGGAAGTGGTTGAAAGTGGACAAGCTCAAAACATATTAGACCCCGTTTACACCTGTATTTAGTGTACTTGACGAAAATGCTTCTTAATACCATGGCCTAAATATCTGATACCTATTATATACTTGCAATTCAAAAAAGATTTGGGTTCAAGAAAAATATATAAAGATTATGAGTAAATATTCAGCCCAACGAAAGCATCTCAGAGTAGCCATAAAATGGCCACTGTAACTTGTAAATTTATGCCTCCAATGAAATCCTGTTAAAAACAAAGATCACTGTGTGTGGCTGTGTACTTTTAAAATGGAAAGGTATATTATTCAAAACATGTACAATGTATGCAAATGAGTATATAATACATTATAAGAACAAATCACATTTTCCACTGTTCATGTGGCTAGCTACCAAGCAGATGTGAGGTATTAGTTATGCTTACCAACTCTGCTCCATTTATTGGGCCACACGTCTCAACCACTAAAACACCATTACGAGATGAATTTAGCCGCCTTAGTTGTTGTAAAAGTATTTTTCATATGAATCCTCTTAACGTTTCATGAGTGCGTGTTCGATCAAGACATGAAATGTCCATGTAAAAGCTGAAGCTGAATGTGTCAGTTACCTGGGCATGTGTGTCATAAACAGCAGATTTGAAAAAAGCATGCTGTTCTTGGCTACGTCTAATCTACAGAGGTAAGTAAGCTATTTACAGAAACTGTACATTGCACATGAAGCTGTGTCTCTGTGGTCCTCTGACTAGTTCGAGACAGATGTCAACAAATTGCAATGCAATAAAATAAAATAAAAAGTAGCTATAAAATGGGGCCTACAGTGATAATCTATCCTAAAGCATGTATGCAGATCAGTGCTAAAGTTTCCGATCTTGGCTTAATGTAAGCAGAAAACAGCTTTTTTCTTATTTTACGCAAAGTTAAAGTGGCCAGAGCATTCGATGTGCGTCACACGGCGTTGTGATTCAATAGAAAACAAGAGAATGCTTGCTGGAAAATGTTTAAAGGCAAATTCACACTGCACCGACAGACGGCGACCAACGTGGACAACCAACATATTACAAGTACGCCACTTCTCAGACATCCGTCAAACGCAGATTCAACATGTTCAATCAGCAAAAACGAGAGCCAATCAAACACACTGATTCAACAAAACCTGATGAAGTGTCTGTTGCTGTCTCTCGGATTGTCTCGGTGCACTGTGAATTGGCCTTTAGTTTTGAGATTAATGCTATGTGCTGTGGAATCAGTATTAGCATGCTTGCTGCTTATGTACAAGAGTGCGAGATCTAAACGCAGGTGGGAGAGGTAGCGAGATTAACCGCTCTGTTCCTCCCCTGTGTCCGATGGCAGGGAGTCTAAAGCTTCTCCGTTGCATCGCGATGTGGGATCGGGCTGTTCGGGCGCTGGGACGTGGAGAACAGGCTCAGCTGGTGGTGGGGCGGCAGCGGCCACTGCTTCCACAACAGGGGCTTCTGTGCTGGCAGAGGGGCTTTCAGCAGTACTCGACTGGGCTGTGGAGGCCTCAGATGGAGCCTGGGGGTTTTCCTGAGCTCCTGCTGCAGGGTTGGCCACTTCTGGTGCAGCTGCTGCTGCTGCCGTCTGATGCTCTGGTGCCCTGAGACGCTTCATCATGGTCGTGACCCGTACGGCTTTCTGCAGGAAGGTGATGATCCAGATTTCATTTAGACAAACTCAACTTTTAAAAAATGTTCAAACAAAAACAAAAGGGTCATTAAGGGTAAAATGCTTTTAGAAATTACCTTCCACTTGGCTTTTGCAAAGTTTTTCTCAATTTGTGCACAGACATTTTCCTTGATGTTCTTGTCGGAAGCAGCATTTCCAGATATCCTTTAATAGTACAAGAAAGCTTATTATATGGCCTGGAAAGTTGTTTATAGATATATATATTCTACCATTCAAAAGGTTGGGGTCAGTAAGACTTTTTTTTATTGAAAGAAACTAATACTTTTATAGTAAGGATGGAGTAACTTGATCAAAAGTGCCAGTAAAGACATTTATAATGTTACAAAATACTTCCATTTCAAATAAAAGCTGTTCTTCTGAACTTTCTATTCTTTCAGAATCCTGGGGAAAAAGTTATTATGGTTTCCACACAAATACGAAGCAGCACAACTGTTTTCATTGTTAATAATAAGAAATGTTTCTTGAGCAGCAAATCAGCATATTAGAATGATTTCTGAAGGATCATGTGACACTGAAGACTGGAGTAATGATGCTGAAAATTCAGCTTTGAGATCACAGGAATAAATTATGTTTTAAAAAATATTCAAATAGAAAACTGCTATTTTAACTGATATTGTACTAAAACTTCACAATATTATTGTTTTGAATGTTTTTCTGATCAAATAAATGTAGCTTTGGTGAGCATAAGATACTTCTTTAAAAAACATTTTTAAAAATCTTACTGGTCCCAGACTTTTGAATTGTATTTTATACCCCAAAACCTTCTCTGAATAGTTATGAATGCCAATATATTGAGTAATTGTCAAGTATATTGATACTATAAGTACCATTCATGGTTGATGGCTTCTTGAGCAGTCAATCTCTGGTCCTGGTCCACCTCCATAAGACGTGACACTAAGTTTTTAGCTGCGGACCAACAAAATGGAAGATGTAACCCAGTAAACACAACCAACCTTTCACATCATGTCTTTAAAATCAAGGTTTACAAAAGAGAAGTTTGTGCTGTACTAAGCATGTGAGGTTTTATCAGTGTTCTTCAGTAAAAGTACCGGAGTCTGAAATGTCATCCCAGTATGGTGAGTCAAACTCATAGTCTCCAGCAAGAATCTTCCGGAAAAGGTTCTTGTCATGGTTTTCATAGTCATCCTCATCTGCTTCATCGTAGAATGGAGGATTTCCCGAGAGTCTGTGCATGTGATGGGGAAAATCATTACAAACTGTGAGAAGGGTCTGGATAGCGGTAGACTCGCTGACATACTGTCTGATGCATATTGCTCATAAAATGAGCACAATATTGGCTTTTTTTTTTTATTATTGTACAGATTTTGTGGAGACGGCAGCAACATTATGTGAATTAGATATTGCTTTATTAACTCTAATCTATTACTGCAGTATCATCAGTTTCAAATGTACTCCTCAGACAGACAATTCTTGTCAAAGTGGGTGGTTCTTTACATCAGATTATCAGCCACTTCAGCTGATAATCAAAAGTCTAGCTGTGGAAGAGTAGAAGAAAATAAAGGTATTATGAGCTCCTGGTTATAGGAGAATACACTCACAGTATGTACATGATCACACCAAGAGCCCAGCAGTCCACGGGTCGGCCATATCTCTGTCTCCCAACAACCTCTGGGGCTGGTTGAAAAAAAGAGGAGGTCAAATCATTTACAGAAACATACATGCTCTGGTTACCATAGTTCGCTATTCTAATTTGAACAACTTATGCCCATGTAAACAGAAATCTTGCAAGAAAATTCTGTTTGCTTGCTCTATAATCTTGTTGTTTTCGTTGTTCCTCAATAAAGACCATCTGTTGCATCTGCCCCCACGAGTGCTCAAAGAGGTTTTTAAGAGCTTCTTACCCAGATACTCTGGGGTTCCACACGGCTCCTTGATGAGTCCATTCTCCAGTTTTGCCAGATGGAAGTCACTGATGACTATTTTTGAATGTTTCAGTCGGTTGTAGTACACCAGATTCTCAAGCTAGAGGGAATGAGAATGACAAGATGACATGCTGCTTTGTGAAATTCTTGTGTTCCAAAACAACTGATGTAAAACAAACAACATTCTGGAGTGAAATTTAGGAACACCGTTTACTGAATAAGAATAATTATTAGTGAATGTATATAAGATTTAGATATAGCACAACTATGTGCAGTTGTTTGTCAGTAAGCATGTGTGTGTGATGTTGATAAAAAAAAAAGACATAACACATGATCTAAGAAAATCCTTTTTGTTTTTTTTGTATCGGATTTAAATATGTTCAGGTGTTTGTAGTCTGCACTGCGAAAAAAAATTTCTGTGATAATATTAAATATTTTTGTTTTGTTTTCCAGTAAAATTATTGTTTCCCCACTAGCAAATTGTATTAATAAAGCATGATTTGCAAGTGTCCACCAGAGGGCGCATTGCAACGTACCTTTAGGTTCCTGTGAACGATCTTCAGGCTGTGCAGGTAAGCAGCTGCCTCCATCACCTGTCTGATAACATTGCTTGTGTCCCTCTCAGAATAATAGCCTTGATCCAGGATCCAGTCAAAGACCTCGCGACCTGTGGCTCTGCAAGAAACCACACAACGTGCTGAGCTGCTTCTTCTGTGCATTTATGAATTATTCACACCCTGCTTTAAACGTTGGCACCTTCAAAAGCTTTACTTAATCATGCAGGTGTAGCAGACACAAATCAGCAAGTCCACGCCACACACACAGCGTACAGAAGGGACGAGGCATTAAAATAATGAATGCAAATCCAAACAGACAGGTAGGAATGTGACAAGGACGAGGCGGTATAATCGTGCTAGGACAGTCTGAGCGCAGGGTTTATTTCTCTTATGTCTCAGGCAACAGCAGCAGCGGATTTAGCCTCTTGAAGTCAGTATCAACTTATAGAAGAGAACCTATGTCGCCAAACAACCTATGCCGGAGGAATTCTTTTTTTTAATTAATTGTTTTGCCCTTTGCATCCACACGTCATCTGAGAAACAGGCAGCTGCTTGCAATCGCTCACATGCAAAGTTGTGCACATGTTCTGTGTCCTGTATGCAAGCAGTCAAATGCACTTCTGGGTTAAAACGTTTGTCTTAATTGGCAAAATATTAATGTACACAGATTCAGAATGTAAAGTTATGGGGCAAAATGTCTGATATTTCAAAGTAGATTTGTGCATTACACATTGCAGTGTAAATACTGCCAAATAGACCTGCCAGTCTCAAATGTCATCAATAATAATCAAACGGCAATATTCACAAGAAAAGAAAATTGCTCTCATCTGTATAATTTTAGATTATAACTATAACCCTATAAAGCCTACTGTATCATTTACACTCCATTTTTTAAGTTCTCTAAATGATCAACATGATCAGACCTCTGCTGAAAAACCTCTTGTACACAATCTACTACATGCCTTCTGTCGTCCGATTGATATTTTATACTTTTCTAGCAAGTAAAAGGCCTTTTAGTATCATTTTAAAAATGTCCCCCTTCAGGTCATGGTACACATGTCTTTTTGTTGTGAAATATTTACTGATTTTTGTAAAGTAAACATAAGAATAACTTTTATATTGTTATATTGATAGTAATATTTCCAGATAAATACTTACTAGACTGCAGCAACTTTGGTTTAGTTGATTATCCAAACATATTTTTAAAAATAATGTTAAAATGTGAGTAGAAATATGTTACAACAGGCTTTTGAGGAACATTTATTTGTACTTCTCTCAATCATCATTGTATTGCATTCTATTATACTGTACGTCTACATCATTTGAAAACACCTGAAGCTATGCCTTTTAACGTATAGTTATTAGTATGCATAAATATTGAACTTTTTTTAATAGTTAAGTAAACTATTTCAAATGAGTATGCAGAAGAGCAAATTAGTTTTGCTGGAGTGTTGAGAACTGAGAAAATACCAACTACTTAAATCATTACACTCATCTCTGTACAGTAAAGAACTATTTCCTCATGAACTGATTTCAGGACTTACAGCTCAAGGAAGAGGTAGTACTCTTTCCGGGTCTCGTAGACATCGACCAGCTGGAGGATGTTGGGGTGTTTCACCCTGGGGAGGAGAGATGGACAAACAGTTAAGAGACAGTTTGCAGCACATCAGAGGCTGAAACACATGCAGCGTCATGCCCAGATCCACCCCGTTCCACCATCAACCCCACACTTGTGCCCCATCTGCCACCGCAGACTCATACAATGCCAGTCATACACGCCTGCATTTGCATATCGCATGGGTTCCCATATCCGTTATAATCATATTTAATTAAACAACAAATGTTAGTATTACCATTAATGCTCGGTGGCTGAATCACATCTGTTCAAATCAACATTAATGTATGTATATTTTGTGTAACTGTCAAATATGCCAGCCTGAGGAGAAGGCACTAACCAGCTGAGTCTCCCAAGGTTTCTTCTTCATCTACTAAATCTTGGGGAGATTTTCTTGGCCACGCTTGCCTTTAGCTAATCACTGTGGTGTTTGTAACGCATTGTTCTTATTTTATTAAGTTGCTTTTGAATTTGTATTATAATGAAATAAAATGAACTGAATAGCAGATGTGACTGAAAGTTCCCATTAAAACTTCCCTTAGAGCATATTACATTTTAAATCCAGCACGTATAATCGTATGATTTAATTCATTATGCAACATGGACACTGTAAGAGAGTGTTTGAGAATTTTGTAAAGGTGGTTATGTCAGCCAACTTTTAAATTAAGAGATTAATACACTGATTATGCTTTAAAGACACTAATGTGCACTTCTGCCAGCAAAAGAGAGGGGAACTAAAGGTGAACTCGTAAAAAAATCCCTCATTCTAATAGTGACTTTTCTTTTATGTGTTATTCATGAGCTGTTGTGATTTGTGAGCGGGGACACAAATGCAGCACCGCAGGATCAAAGTGACATCAGTGACTCACGGTAGATCAGCCTTTTAGATGCAGTATAATCATATATAATCATACACTGATGCGAAGCATTTATATCTAATATCTTAAGGCTTTGACATGTTTGGTATATTAAACTAAATTCATTGCATCATTAGGTGTTTAGTGTACTTTCCTGTTCTTTGAGAGGACTGAAAATCTCGATAATGAACACCGGCTACGCATAGCTCCACAAAGTCAATAAGCTTTTTGTTAAAATCGACTGTGTGGATTCCACTTTTTACAGAATTAAAGGAAAAAAGCAATTTCCAAGCTATATTATATGGGGTTTTGAAGCGGACGTAATAGTATGTTCAATACAAAACCTCAAATATCTGTGCCATTAAACTGGATGTGATTTTATTCAAATCATGCTTATGTGCAGTAGCTAGAAGTTTGTACTCATAGATTTGCATAAAGTATGCAGTGGAAGTAAATTATTAGGGCTGCAAACAGTTGACATTTTTAAATCTCTCTTCTTTTTTTTTGGAGTTACAAAAGTGACCATCACAATGAGGATATGTGAGCTTCTGGGATACACAAATCATTCCAGAGGAATTACAGTGTTTGACTGACCTTTAAGAATCATTATTCATAAAATTTGATTCTCTTTCCACCAAATGAAATCAAAAGAGCAGATCAGAGGACCGCAGAGGAAGCCGCAGTCTACAAAATGATTGTAAAGGTTTTTGACAAAGAAAACTGAGTTGAACTCACATCTTTAGGATGACAATCTCATTTTTGGCAGCCTTCCGCACTTTTCTTCCATCTTTCTTCAGGAATTTTTTGCAGGTGTACATTTTCAGAGTGTTCTTATCCTTCGCCCTGAAGATCTCACAGAACTCCTCCCTTGAGAAGAAATTACATTTATTGCATGAATTGCATTAGAATTGATATTGACATTATAGAATAGTTAATCCAAAATGAAATTTCTATTAACTCTACAGAGAATTACTGCATGAGCTCTTAAATCTTAATAAATAGCTCTATTCTGATTGGTCAATGACATCATTTAGCTGTAAAACATTTAGTATAACTAACCATTGTCTTTGAATACCATATTCTGACTATACTAGTTTCATGTCTCTCATAACACTCTACAGTCTCACATAATCAAATCATTTCAACTGAAATCAATATTTTATATTCATTCATTTAGTAAGTAGCCATATAATTAGAGACATAATGTGCAGTCAGTCAATCATTGTTGCAAAATAAACCCCTTCAGATTATACTGAATGAACAAATTTTGTGATAATCATGGCTGACTGCACATTGTCCCTTACAAATATACATTTGAGAACAACTTTTGCAACTGCAACTTAGATGCACAAATAAAGAGGACGGATTACACAAAAACATATTTCACTTACGTTTTAACAATCTGCCCCAGATCATATTTGTCTGTAATTTCAGTAGGACTATTGTAGTCCTTCTTCTCGCCAGGATTTAAACAGCCGAATGGCATGGCCCACCCTGCCCTTGAATGAACCCGAAAGAGAAAGAGAGAGGTTAGAGTATAGATCCATTTAATTCCAGTTATCAACACTATTAATTCATTGCACATTGTGTGAATATGTATTACTCAGTCACACCTGTGTGGTTATTCTGGATTAATATGCATGTTCACTTCATATCACATTCTGTGACATTTTTCATTCCGAAGGGAAATAACAACTGTGCATAAACACTGCTCTTTGACATTCTCAAACAAAACAAATTCAGTAGCAAATTTCAAACAATGAGCACTGCTAAGGGATTCGTCTCTCTGCCAATATAATTTCAAATAGAACAATATTTATGGAACTTATGAAAAATGTGAGTTGTGCTGCACATGCAAAACTTCGAATACCTTAGGGTATTCTGGGTGGTTTCCATGTGCTTGGTATGGTTTTATATTGTGATATATAATGTGTTGCTGTTTTCCCTATGGTGTTCTGGTTGGTTGGTTGGTTGGTTGGTTGGTAGGGTGGTTGCTTACCTCTTTATGATAATCTGCTATCTACATCTAGCCTGATACCCTATTTCTGTGAAAGTCTATGGGATTTCTTAATGTCTGCCAGACAAAAAAAAAAAAGACAAAAAAAAGTGTGCTATTAGTATACTTCTTTTAAACTAAAAATAAAGTATATTTTTAGTCTACTTTTATGTACTTCAAAGAAATATACTTAAAATTACACAAGTATATTTGACTTATACTGACAGAAAAGTATATAAAAGTATGTATATTTGGCCTAAACTTGTACTCAATGTTTTGATCGAGATTTACTTAAAAATATAAATAACTATTCTAAGTATACTTCGCTTACTCTTTTGATTGAATAGCCTCTACATATTTTTTCCACATAGCTGTACATACTGTTTAATAAACTTACATTGCTTGAAAATATTGATTTATAAAGAAAACAGATATGTTCTTAATTCTGAGTATGTGATGCGAGTATGAAATCCACTGAAATCCAGCTGAATAATTATGGGCAAAGGAAATAGGGTGATGAAGACAAATGAAAGACTTTAGTGCACCTTTTACCACACTCTGGCATTTGTTTATTGAGAATTTCCTACTCAAACTCTACCTCCACTTTACTTGAGTATGCTAGCTTTAATCATACTGCAAAAATCATACTTGTAAAAGAGATGAATTTGGTAGCGTTAGTCTCCCTGAGTCAACCCAAAGTGTTTAACTCTCTGTAACTCGAAATAGGAAATCTGATATTCTAATGTATGTTCATATATTAAGCTTAATTTTTTAACTGAATTAAGAATGTCGTTTCCCATTCAATCTTGAATGGTTTCACCCATACCGCAACTAAATTATCTTAATTATCAAAATTGAATCCTAAAATATATTAGCTTTTCACCACAGAGCAATGGAGGTGAAGCATCAAACATGGTTTGAAATCAAAATGGTTTCATGCAAGTCAAAATTTTCATTTAATCTGACTATGTAAACAAATTTTTATGATTTAGTTAGATCATTGAAATTACAATTGCAGGTTACCACACATTCCAGTTTACATTTTAGAGGGCCACCCTAGGATTTTTACTGCGCCCCTCTGGCCACCTCATTCAAAATATCCTGGAGGTGCCACTGATAAAGATGATTTCAATATGATGTTAATCAACAGCTTGGAAGACATTTCATGTAGCCAGTCCTTTGACTAAATGTTATAAAGGTCAATCCACGATGAAATATGACTTTGTTTCCAGACGGACTGATTAAAACACCAGCCAATGAGATTTAACCTGGCAATTCAATCCAGCTCTTGCTAGTTTGTGTGCAATATGCATCAGACGGTCACAGTGAACGGATTACGGCTGGTCGTGGGTGTGCAATTTGAAACTAGTCTAGAAGACACACGGCCCAACACTAGTAGGAAATTATTGTACAGCTGACTTAATTATTTCATCATCAGTAATGTATGAGCACTACAAGGTCTACAGAGTATATATATACTAAAACAAAAAAAATAATGCAAACACAGAGAAAGGCAGGACATAATTTACACACACAGTCAAGCAGAAAAAGGACAAGCTTTCTGATTTACTGTACATCCTCAGACACACAGATTGTGTCCTCTGTTTCTCTCCCTCTCTCATATTGTTCGTTCCTCATGTTTCCCCTCTCGCTGTGCTCTACTTTATCTTGTTCCTTCCCTCTTTGTTCAGTTTTGTAAACCTACATATAATGCTAAGAAGTTTGTTATGTAAGTGATGAAGCTCTTTGCTCTATGATTAATTACACTTCTGTTTGCTATGTAAATTTCCTTAAAGGGATAGTTCACACCAAAATAAAGATTCTGTCATCATTTACTCTTTTTATGTTGTTCCAAACCCATACGATTTTCCTCGACTGTGGAACACAAAAGGAGAAATTTTGAAGAATGCTCAAGTTGCTGTTATTTATACAATGAAAGCATATTTAAGTAATTTGTGTGGCCGATCCATAAAGAGGGTCTTTCATCATATTTTACTAATAACATGAATGTATTAATGGCATTAAAAATGCAATACAGTAATATAGTATAATTATAAATTCATTATATAAATAATTGCATGTGTTAACACGTTAACTATGATCTTATGTAGATGCACTTTCTCTATTGATTTCCCAGTATGGCACTATGTAAAGTTCCCCATGTTGGGCTGTGCTCTAAAAGCACATTTTCAGCACACTCTCTCCACATCCATATGCTTTGATATTACTAACACAGCATAATGGGCAGTTTGGCACAAGCACAGAATGTATATAATGTATAAGCATTATAGTCAAGGAATCTGGCCTGCAGGTCTTTGGACGAGGGCAGATATGTTGATCAATACACTGAGATGTTTTACAGCGGCCTGTGTGCTCTAGCCAATATCATCAGCTTCTGTATCATCAGTCATTTTCTATTGAAAGAAAAAAATATTTTAAAATGCAGGTTGAGGGCAAAACTTCTCTAGCTTATTAATTATATTAATGCTTCTTATTTCTATCAATATATAATATTATTCATATATAACACAAATTATATTAATATTTACCTACTCAAGGATAAAGTACAGTTTATGTTCAATGAAAATAAATGCTGTACATCTTCAGATGCCTCGTTTATGGAGTTGTTGTTTTTTCCTCATTAATCTTCATACTCTTATGCTAATCCTTAAATTCTAATGTGTAATATATTGATTTTCTGTGAGAGTTTTCATATTTGAATGAGCATTTTGTAATTCTACTCCATGGTAATGTTTAAATGGTGATGTAAAATGTCATATATTATATATAATAAAATGCTGTTGTGCATTTAAAAGATGATACACAAAAAAGCAATTTGTCTTCAATTTCCTGGCCTGGTTTCATCTCTCCAATGATGCAATTACAATAACGTACAGTAATTCATAATACATTTTGAATAATTGCAAGACCAGTCCCTCTTCAAATGTATCAGGGTCTACAGAGCTTTCCTCTCTTTCAAGAAGCGTTCCTCTGTGCAACAAGCAAAGAACTTAATTGGCTGAAAACTCTTGAGGTTTTTGGAGAAGCGAAGAGAGCAATAGGAAGCAAGAGAAACCGACCACGTGAGCGACAGAGAGAGCGAGCAGGAGGAAGATTACAGCGGGGTAGAACTGCATTCTGCAACATCATCTCCAGCTCCTCATTACCGCCTCTCGAAAGAAATCAGGAGATCCAGAACTTAATACGAAACCGGAAACTTCTAAGAAAAAAGAAATGAAAGTTCCTTTGCTTTCCCAAGGGCACTGTGAATGCTAATTAAACCCAGTGGCTGGTACATTAGACTCGGTTTCAACCTTTCTGCAGACTGTAGAGAAATACAAAATATAGAAACTAGGGGAGAGGAAACGATAATAATCTCATGTAGGGAATAAGCAAGGGAAGGAGAGAGAAATAAGAGATAGTCTTGCTACACACATCAATCATGAGTCACGAGGATTGATAAAATGACAAGAGACAAAAAGAGAAGACAATAGTATTCATTATTCACACACCAGCATCTGCGTCTCTCAGGAAGGGTGGTTTGCAGCTAGTAATCGAGCATCTCGTGTATCCTGCGGCATTGTGCTACCCGACCAGCTGAAACTTCACTCTCATAATCACACCATCTCCAGTTTTTCAGAGCTGGCAAAATCTGTGCCTCCCTCCATCAGTCCCATCTGCCTTTAGTTTGTAAATACATGACATCAGGTTGGGCCACGGATAGGCCGAGACGGAGATCGCTGAGCTTCTGATGGCCCACAGATTGGCTTACAGCAGGTGGTTTAGACATCTGATCCAGAGACGCTTTGAGATCCTACTGCACACTGAGTTGGGTCAAATTAACCAGGGATTGGTTATACCATTAAAGGTGCTATATGGAACTTTTCTTCTAAAATGAATCCTTTTTTTATTGCCTGTGTGTGAAGGGGTTGTAATCACACATTACAATGATCCACTTGTCGGGTTTTGCTATTACCTCTGAAGGCCAGTAGTGCTATTTCTATGTGAAGACTCCGGGTCGGATTTTCTACGAAATCCATCGGATGTGACGTGCATGCGCGCTCCCGAGCCTCTCTCCTTTTTATATACAGTCTATGCGACGGCACTGCAGCTGACGACATGGAGTCTGATAATACCAAAAAACGACCTGCCTCCAGCACAACACAGACTCCAACACAAACTCCACATAAATATAAAAAACAAAACAAAAATGTATCTGCTGAAGCTCGTCAGGCCAAACGTCAATCGGATCGACTTATGACGAAAACACGGATCAACATCGGCAGAGCGTTTGAATTATGGAGAGACCCCCGCTATATTTAATGTGATAAATTACAAGTTTTCAGATATGCTGAAATAATGGTAAACTGTAATGAAATAGCAAGGTAAACTACAACATACATGAGACATGAAATGAATACAAAAGACTGTTCCAGGATAACAAAGAGTAGGCGCTTTAGGATGAAGGCTAACTTTTATTTTATGTACTAGATCTACTGTCTA